AGGTGCAGCTGAATGGGGACAATGTGGACAGAACAGGCAACAAAAAGGGCTCAACATGAACCCACATCAGAACAAAGCACGTTTGCATCTTTCATAGTCATGACCTCAACACACAGAGAGCGTTTCTTTCTGAGAACAAGAGCAGAATTGTGGACGTAAGTGGAAATTTTCCATTAGGAAGTCTGATGAGTCTCCAGCGAATCTGAATTCATCTTTTGATGGCGACAGCACTGAAACGTTGAAAAGCACAGCTCTGTCCGTGGACGTAGCTGAACACAAACTTTTCTGTGACATGGTACTCGCGTATACAGACACACAAACAGAGGCCAGTGACACACAAACACACACACACACACACAGAACAAGATAATCAGCCTGCGGTCAGAGCTGCGATGCAAATTCAAGGGAAGTTCCACCAACTGCTGAAAGAGAAAGTGATGAATGACACCACAAGCAGGAAGAGATTATGCAACTGGCTGAAATCACCATGGAAACGTAACCTGACGCGGGAAAACATCTCGAGGCTCGCTGGAATAACTTTACACAACCTAAGAACCTGTTTCGGGATCGGGGCGTGTGCTGATCCTCAAACACAGGCCGGGAATGGTATGATGTGTTTAAGGAAGCTGTGACGATTTATGGAATAAAATAAAGAAAAAAACGTATTTAATTGGATTTAAAGGCCTTTTTCTTTTACACTGTAGAGGAAAGTGAGCTGTGTGGTTTTAACAGACAATCAGGTTATTAACTGTGTGACTCATTGTCTATTTTATTTCTATATTTATTGCTATCATTTTTTACTAATTGTTTTTTTTTTAAACTTTATTTATTTCATTGTTTATTTTACGATCTGTTACCCTTTATTTCTTAACTTATTTATGGAATTATTTTACTTACTATTCCTACTATTGTCATTCTTAGCCTTGTGTTTATGGTTTTATCTGTATATTTTCTTTTGTTCCACTTCTTTTATTACTTAGATGAGGCATTTTATTATTCTATCTAATATTGTTTCACTAATTGATTTTGAAAATCTTTTACCATGTTTGCCCCGTCTGTAAAGCCCTTTGTAAACCGTTTTTACAAGGTGCTATATAAATTATTATTATGATCCAAATACAATCACAATTAAATCTTTGTTGTTCATCCTGGAGGACACATACTGAGTCCAAAGTGACCACATAGGTGCACAAAAGAAGCAAGGTTGACATAGCCAGGCTTTCTTTATGTTAGCCGGCTCGACAAAACCTAGAAATCGATGGATAAATTGATACGTTTTTTTTATCCCCTTGGGGAAATTCAAGGTATCCAGTAGCTCATTGTTACATTTAGGAAAAAAATAAGG